AAATAATTTTTAAAAGTAGTTTCATCTCTTATAATGTAATGGAAAATATTCAAAATCCTCTTATGCTGATTCATGAAGTATACTGATATAATTAGACAAAATGAGACCATTGAAAGAGGCAGACTCCTTGTTTCATTGCTTTAAGCAAATAATAAAAATGGACTCATGCAAGTCACACCACTAATTTAAATACATATGTAAAAAGATAGTAAATAAATGAAATAAAAATATTTGCTTTAGTTTTTTTAAACAAAGATTTATTAACTCTGAATTTTTTAGGTTAAGGACCATGCAATATATATCTCCTACACTGAAGTGTCCAAGAAACGTTTTTGAAATAAATTAATGAACTGCTTTAGAATGTCGCTCAGAAATTAAACTAGAAATTCAGAGCAGTATTCTTAGGGCTTGATTTACACCAAATCCAAGTTTGCAATATATTAACATTGAAGGAACAGGCCATCGCTTTCTGAAAACCTTCCTTTTATAAAAGAAATACTTTAATATTATGAATCCCCTTGGTGCATGTAAAATATTATTTGCATTATAAAAATTGATTTTTTTGGTATAATTGTTCATAGACAATATTTTCACCAGGATGTGTTCACAAGTGTTAATGGAAGGCAAATTATGTGTGGGACAGTCTTCTAGGGAATATGTGAGGGGTTTTTAAGATGGATAACATTTTGTACCTGCTTTTGAGTTGCAAATGATCTGGACTCTTGTCTAAACACTGCAGACAAGATCAGGTGAAGAACATTACTAGAAGTTCAGTGAAGAAATAAAGCCACGTACTCCATGGAGTGAAATTTGAATTCCTTAAATTTCCTAAAATTATTTTATGTTGGGTTTTATACCAGGATAGGAATGCCTTTAAAAGAAAGAAATATTTGACATAAGGTAGAAAATTTCAAAGGAGTGTTTGACTTGTTGATGGATGTGTCATCACATTTCATGTGTCTGAGAAATATAAATTTCTACAGCACATTTTTAGTGCCTTAAACAGACTACAATGTTCTAAATGGTTGAGCAGTTGAAATTTAGTCTGGAACTGGGACAGATGACTTGCCACATAGAGTGGTTCCCAACATAAAGTGATCTGTGATGGTGGGACTTTCAGTGTGTTTCACTATTAGCATATGTCATCCAAGTATGCCTTTCAACATCCGTGGAGAAAAGATATGTTACAAATACGAAACATCACTGTGATGAATTGGCAATGTCAAAAACCTCTGCCTTGGCTGTGACCCAGTGTTGTTATTGGCAAGCAGATTCATCCTTCTAGGTTGGTTGCTCCATAAGAAATCTTCAAGAAAAGCGAGTCCAAGACCCTTTTTTCTTCTTACTGTGAACTTGGTCAAAAATACCAAATGTTCAGTAACCATTTATGGTATCAGGAATGCACCAATAACTCCTTCTGACTCTTTATGAGCAATAATCTTGTGGAATGCAATTTCCCTTCTTATTCCTGTGAGTATTTTTAGGTACCTATGCTGGACTTCTTTAAAAGAGAGTAAGGATTTGTGATTTAAACTGGGATAGATGCTGTTGCAGAGATAACAAAAGGCTGTTGCTTTCTCTCTTCCAACAGGATCTAGGTAAAAGGATAAATGTGATAACTCAAAATAATGTGTATGTTTATCTTCCAGGCTTTCTAATAGTTAATTGGTCAAATAAAATATTATTTACAGAATAGAAGGGCCACTCTTCAACATTGTTCAGACACTGCAAAGCAAACTAATGCAAGTGCAGTGACCTCTTCATCCAACCACAAAATAATATATATTTTTAATTCTCCAGGGAGTTTGAGATAGTAAAGTTGGATATCATGTAGATAAACAAAGGCTTTTGCCTTTTCTCTTGGAAAATAGTTAAAATGAATAGGAATCTGATAATTAATCTAATAAATTTAACCCTGCTCTACTTACCTAATGCCCCCCAAAAGATGATCTTTTTTTTCTTCATTGATTTTATACCTTAAAAAGAAATTACTGAATTGCGGATATCCAACTAGTATCTGCAGACAGAAATGAAGGTCATTTTTAGAAGAAACCAGTGTCAAATGAAAACGCAGATTTCTACATGGTCACATTCATATCACACACTCTTGACCCAAGGTGAGTAAGTAGGTCATTCCTTATTTCTTATTTATTCCCTGGCACAATCAGACCACACTACAAGTTTCTTTTACCAGTTGCCAAAATGAAAACATGAGACCCTTCAGAGCTACTGTCGGTACATGCAACTCAAGACAACGAGCAGCATCACAACCATTGTCAACAGGAAACTCCAACAATGTCGGGGTTTGGATTTGGTTTTATGTTGAGAGAAGCAGGTTTTCTCTGATTTTAATAATCCATAAGAAACAGAAATCACAATAGATAGACTCCATATTACCTAAAAAGAGCCAAAAGCAGCAAAAGTTCTCCCCCACTTCATCCTCTTGTTCCACAGACATTTTGAAAATAAAGGAAGAGAAAATAGAAAGGAAAGGGTGTGAGAAAGAACACAGAAATGACTTGAATGATTTTAAATCCTTATTAAGCATCACTGAGGTTGCATTTTACCCATTAGGCTGACTGAATTTAGTCCTCACCGCTCAGACCTTGCAAAGAAACTGAACATACATGGTTTTGCCTTCCAGGGTTGATCTAGAATTGTAAGGGTGCATGTGAATGTGGGTATGCATGTGTGTGTGCTTCAAGTCCATTTTATAAACACTGACACAGGACAATTCTCATCATTGGTAATAGTCTTTGGAGTCCAATCATGCAGAAAAACAGGCAGGTGCAAGTTAGGTCTCATTGCAAGATGGACATGGCAAGGTGAACAGATACTCCTAGATAAGGATTGGGAGATTTGTGTCCATTAGAATATACTGGCCATTGGTCCCACATAAATAAAGTTACATATACAAGATTCTATATATAAACAGAGGCCCCTCACTTCAGTTTGGCTGACCAAAGAAACAGGTGAAAGTGAACCATTTTCAGATAGTTAAAGGACTCAGTGCCAAAAGAAATAACAAAATCTTATCCTCTAATCACAAAGAAAGTAGCTAAAATAACTATTTACATTGTAACTTTTTTGTTGTTTTTACAGACAGGTGTTTCCTTGCTTGGTTTAATGATATCTGTGGAAAACATTGAACTCTTATAATTAAAATGTGTATGGGGGATTGTGAGTGGGGAGTAAGGTTCTTGTTTGGATGCAAAGTAGCTGGGATCAAAAATTTCTAAAGCAGTTTTACGCCTCTTTCTGAGCTGTAGAAGATATATTTTTTCAGCAAAGCTGGCTAATAACACACCTTACAGAGCATAATGCACTTAAGATGTGGCTGTTCATATGTTAAGAGATTCAAATCGAAATAGATTTTGTATAATTTAGGTTTTGCAATGAATATTGAAAATTAAAAAAAAATCAGGTTTTCTTATTTTTTTTTTCCTTGACAGAACATAAAAGGTTTTATGTATTTTTATCTATTTTTTACTAGTTCCATTTGCTAAGGCCAACTTTTGGTTTTACCAGTCAGCTACTATCAGTGTCTTTACCTAATATTTTTCTGATAACAGATTGAAAAAACTATGAGCTTCTTGGCCCTGAATTAAATAGCTTACTCCAGTTGGTGGGAACTGGCCAGTCTCTGGCCCAACTGTGGGGTACGTTCCTACAAAACCCAGTCATCAGATTCTTGAAGATGAAAGATTATTATCAGTTTTTATTCCACAAGAAGAAATTCCGGTGTAAGGCTAGAGTATTCCTATTTAAAATTGAACACGCTGACCCATAAAACACATATAAAAATAGTAAAGACATATTAATAGTAAAGTGGTGGTGGTTTTGCCAAACTCTTGCAGCAGCTTAATTCCCCCTGTGCATGAATACACAGCCATCCTTCCTACAAAACACTGCAGAAGATTTTATTAACAATCACTGCCAGCCAACTGCCCTAAAGAAGTGACGGAAGGTTAGGCTCCTCAGAGTGCCAACTTCATGTTCCAAAATGAGCCCCAACCCCGGGTAGGACCTTCACTTTTTTCAGGAATATTGTCCAGGTGACTTGACACTTGCCTACCTGAAAAGTTGGGATGTTCTTGGGAAATAACAGGTGACTAAGAAATATTTGGGGTGTGTGTGTGTGTGTGTGTGTGTGTGTGTGTGTTAACAAGACAGATAAGTGAATGCAGAACATACTATATTCTGTGAATGTGATAATATCATGACCTCCTAGAGATATTATAGGAAAGCAGACCTAGTGGTAAAAGGACTGGGGGGCTTTTACAGTGGTGATTCTCTTTGTTGTTTCATCATCTACCTTGATTTAATCACCTAATAAAATTGATCTTGCAAAAATACTGGAGACCAAATCCTTACCTCTATTTGTAAATGATACTTACATTCGAGGAATTTGTTCCATTTTTCTCTTGTCCATAAGGGAAATCTGGCTAAAGCTAATCAGCTCCCAAGAGCCATGCACAGAAGACATAAGACTAACTGAGCTTTGGGAAGGTACTAACAGCGGGGAAGGGGCCCTGTCTAGTTCTTGCCTGGTTTAATCTGAGGGGGAAATTCACCATTTCTGCAGATGCGAGAGATAGCCTGTCAAGCACTTTGAAGATGCTGGCTGGAGACTTCCTTCTGTGTTGTGATGTCATCTTGGGGCTGACGAAATTCCCCTTGAGACTTTCTTTAAAGCAGCTTCCTGCTCTCTGCACTTAATCCCACGTGGCATAAGGCAAAGGAGGGGGGAGGCCACAGATATATCAAGAGAAAAGTACAGAGAAAGAAAATGAGTAAAGAATTAGAGATACAGAGAGGAGAAGTGTTTTGGTCTTTTTGTTTGTTTGTTTGTTTGGGGGAAAAAAAACAGAATAGGACTGAAAGAAAAGAGAGAGAGCTCATGTGACTGAGGAGGCATTTTTAACAATCAGGTTTTCTGCAATATTAACCCCAAAATGGTAGCAAAATAGAGAAAATGGGCCATTTTTATTCCAGGGGACAAGCTGCACAAAGGAATGTTCTTCTCTTTATTTTGAGCAAATGATCACATGTACTGAATCTGTGTGAAACAATCTCAGAATGGCAGCACCGCTGGCATGGCGATGGTGCAGGTGGGTGCAGTTCTCTGTGGACTCTATTGCTTGAAGAGAGAAAGAAAGTTCCCTATTATTATATTTAAGGCAGTTTTCAGAGCACTGGCATTCTTGTTTGCTCTGTTTTGGGGGTATTCTATTTACCAGTCAGTTCACACTCATCAACCATCCACTTCCTGTCTTTCACTTCTTCAGGTGAAATATCACCACTTTGGTGAGCACCAACATGGTCAGAGTGCAAATAACTGTGATGGATACTTTGAAGTGAATAAGAAGGGAAGCCTGAACCAATTATTGCTGAGATCACCTTGGTATTGCCTTTTATATAACCAAGATGTTTCACAGTGCCTCCTTAAGTGCTCAGGAAAGCACTTTCATTTAATTTAAGCCAAATTCAGGAGATTTTGCTAAACATTGACATTAATGCTTCATGGCTTTTAAGGTAAACTCATATTGCTAGAACTATTTGGCAGCAGCAAATTTATGGGCAGAGTTATTGCTCTTACATCTACTGCAGTACAAAACTCAGATGATAGCCCTTCTTCGATTGCTCATACTTATGAAAATAAATAAATAAACATGAAACGTTAGCCACATCAAAGAGTCGGGGAAACTCCTGAGGAATAACAATGTCTCTGGAGATGTTTTAAAATGCTAACCTGAGACTCACACTGTGCTTTGGGGGTTTTATTCTTATTGACTTTTTTTTTTTTTTAATTTCAGAAGAGGAAAGTGATATTATTTCTCAAAACAAAACTTTGGTAGAGTATGAACCAGGGAAGCTGCCCTCACATGGAAAACATAATCCACAACCTGAAAGTAGTGTAGGCAGGCTCATTTTTTTGTTGAAGGAATTCACACGGAGGCAATTCTGCTCAGTTCCAGAGAGAGATTCTTATCATCAAAAGCACACGCAATAACCTTGCTTCACCACCTGCCACTTTCTCCAGTGGCCTCTTGTTGTGACCAGTAATTGAGAAATGACAAATGGGAATAGGGCCAAATATCTAAAATAGGGACACCAGTGTCTCTTAGTATCTGGGTAATAACCTCCTTTTAGTCTTAGTCCATAACGCACACTACTCTCCAGTCTCTCCTACTCTTCACTGTCACAGAAAAGTCTCTCAGCTTTTATTCACACCTGCCTCCTAAAGGCCAAACCATTTCGTGCCTGAAAACTACGACCCACTCCCCCCACACTTTACATAAGTATCACATATGTTCTTTCTACAAATTGGTATACAGGTGCCATTTAATCCAGTCAAATTTGGAAGCTACATCTTCAAGGGTCTGAGAGAGCTCGCTCCCCCCATTTATTCCCCCTTTACATGTTTTCTTATAAGACATACAGTTTAATTAATTAACAAACTAAACAGCTTATATACTGGCAATATATTACAGATGGGTTTATGTCAGAGTAATAGATCACATGAAATGGACCATGTGGTACCCCAGTGCATGATGTCTTGGTAGAGCCCTGAGGACACTGACAGTAGCATCTCTAAGTAAGTAGTGCTGTATGAATACAGACACATGCGGATCTGTATCTACATCCATCTGACTAGGCCAAGGAGCAGGTAGATGCAAGATAGAGACACACACATGCTGGATGGGGCCACTGCACACCTTGTCATGCCATTTAAAAGGGCAGTTACAGGTTGCTGGTTTTGCAGCCATTAAAATTACACTTTATGGAAAAGGCTTCTCTAATTGTGTCTGATTTGCTTTCTGTAGTAAGCATCATTGGAAGAAGACCAAAGCAAGAGCAACTAGAAGTTAAATATACATTTGAGCTCAGCTGCAATACAGAACTCTGGGGAAGAAGCAGGCTGAAAGATTGATTTAATTTTAGGCTTGGATTCCCTCCCTTGCTGCTTTCTTGATGTTGTGTGTCTGCATTTGTGAGTGTGCATGAGTGTCTGTGTATGTGTGTGTGTTCCATCACGTCATCTCCTGAAGAACGCTGGGTTTCGCAGGCAGGCGGCTAGTCACCTGCAACAACCCAGGGGTCCTGCCGAAGCTTCCAGGCTGCTGTCAGTGTCAGATGCCAGGGTCTGGTCAGTGGACATGGAGGAGATGTCATTGACAGACGAGGATGGAGGGAGACTCTCACTGCTGTTCACTGCTGCACCTGTGCTAAGAAAATGAAGACCAACATGACTCAATCTAGAACCAGACCCATCTGAATGCCATTCAGGATTCAGGGATGGGCAAATACAATAGGGGATGTCCACTCCATCAATCACTTGGCAAGTCTTTATAGAGCAGCTGACACAGGGGAGCATATTAAATGGTGACAATCAAGATATAGCAATGAAAAGTCCCTCGTCACAAGTTATTCACAGGCTAGTGCAGTAGTTATCAAACCTCACTCTATATTTGAAATCACCTGCAACACTTTCTATAAAAAAAAAAAAACACTAATATCTGGTTACACTGCCTCCCCTGCTCCCACTGCACTGCATATATTTTAATATAATTGGCCTTAGGTGAGGCCAAGGCATTTGCTTTTTTTTTTTTCTTTTGAGATGGAATCTCGCTCTGTCGCCCAGGCTGGAATGCAGTGGCGCGATCTCGGCTCACTGCAACCTCCGCCTCCTGGGTTCAAGCAATCCTCCTGCTTCAGCCTCCCGAGTAGCTAGGACTACAGGCACACGCCACTATGCCCAGCTAATTTTTGTACTTTTAGTAGACACGGGGTTTCACCATGTTGGCCAGAATGGTCTCGATCTCTTGACCTCGTGGTCCGCCCACCTTGGCCTCCCAAAGCGCTAGGATTACAGGTATGAGCCACTGTACCCGGCCGGCACTTACATTTTTAAAAATCTCCTCAGAGACTGTATTCAGTTAAGCATTGAAAACCTCTGGCTTATGGAGGAAACAAACAAAACCCCTTAATGGAGTCATCTGAGCCTGGTTATTTTTAAGGCAGGGAGCTTTTAAAACAAACGCATGCAAGTGTCCTATCCAAGAAATAGGAGCTGAAGTGAAGTTCAGAAATCCAAATTACTTAGGGACTACATCTCTAGAGAAAGGAAGGTATATAAAGTAAATACTATTATGTCATCATTAATGACATCAAACTTAAAATGCATATAGAAAAGCCAGTAGGACATAAGTAGGACTGTTGATGAAAGTTACACACACACACACAAAATATATATATAGGAGAAGGCTTAGCACACCTTTTGCTTATGAGCTTACTCTCCAGCAGGCTTGCTTACTTGGAATCTCCAAATAAGAACTCTGAATTACTAACTTAGATTAACTTGAAAAAAATTATTTATGTGTTATGTGGGACTATAAGTTTGAAACTCTGAGAAGAAACTTGCCCATGGTAATCACTCAGTAAAGGAAAGCTGAGTTGCCAGTAGCTTTGAGATCAACAGAAGAAAGATGAACCAAAGGCATTGTGCAATATAATTAAACCAGAGCGCCCTGGAAACAATCCATTTACTTTTTTTCCTTGTATATTTTTTATACACCTAAGCAATGTGAGTGGTAACATACTTGCTTTGTGAAATAGCTCGCTATTGAAAATCTGTAGTATAATCCCCTAGTCAAATAAGAGATGATGAATTCTCACTAAAATTATATCTGATTTGAGCAAATATAGTGTGCAAGATCTATCTGGTGAAAAATAATAAATCCAAAGTCAGTATAATAATGTTATCACATAGACCTAATAAATCAGAAAGACAAAATAAAACTAAGTTAAGGTAGGGGAGGGGTTAACATAATCTTCTTTGTTCCTGGAGTAGACATTTCTTGCCTGATGAAAATGTGTCAGTTATCTAGAGAGGACACAAACACCTAAACGAAGACAGCTCACCTGTATCATCCATGTATTTTTACATTGTATTTGTTGACTATAAATATATTGATGTACTCTATGGGAAATGTGAAAAAAATATAGGAAATAAAGATAATGATATGCACCGATCTTCAAATAAATGGTAAGAACTGTTAAACTTTTCATATATTTCTTCGTGGTCATTCTTTTTGCCTGGAAGTTTCCCTGGTCATGATCTTTTAATATGTATTTTTTGGGGGATCCTGATATTCTTATATAAAGAAAAGTTTATGAATTTTTCATGTTCTTTAAACTCCTAAAAATACCCGTCCTTTCTGATCTTAAATGTCTCTAGGAAAGGTTTTTAAAGTCCTCTTGTTATTGTCTTTCTGTAAATAATTACTCTCACTATCAGGACGATGTATAATGTAAAGTTAAAATATTCCATAATATTCTAACTTTGAATGGCTTCAATTTATTCCACCTCTACTTAATTATATCTCCTATAGCTATGATACAGAGCTGGGTCACTTCCCCTCATGATGAGATTTTATCTCCTAGCAGACAGCCCCTGGTTCCCTTACATTGCCCAAATGCCGTGCTCTGTTTTTTCCCTCCTGATTCTGGATTAAATTATACCAACAGCCTTCCTATTCTTTCATAAGCTGCTAATAATTTAGTGTCACTATGATGGACTCCTCAGAATTCTCCTCCATTTATCCACATCCTTATTAAAAGGTAGAGATTAAAACTGGACACAGACCTCTATTACAAAGGCCTGATCAATTGTGAGCCCAGCAGAGGGAAATTGCTGTTTTTTTGTTTTTTTTTTTACTATTTGTCTCCTGGATGATATATCCCTAGACCATGGATGTCTTTCAAATCACGGTGCTACAGCTTAATTTAGTTTTGACTTGAGGTATAAAATGATGTTCATATATTTTTTGTAACAGCCTTATTAAGATATAATCCACATATATAATTAAGAAATTTAATTTTTATGATTCAGTGTTTAGTATATTCACGACATTGTGCAGCCATCACCACAATCCACTTTGCAGCATTTCATCATCCCTGAAGAAAACCCTGCACTCCATCCCTCACCCACCCTCTAGCTCTAGGCAATGACTAATATAGTTTTTGCCTCTATAAAATAGCCTGTTCTGAACATTTCATGTAAATGGAAACATACCATATGTGATCATTTATGACTGGTCATTTTCACATAGCAGAATGTTTTTAAGGTTTATCCATGCTGTGACATGTATCTGTATTTCATATCTTTGTATGGCTGCATAATATTCCATTGTATGGATACATCACATTTTGTTTATTTATTAGTTGATAGGCATTTGATGGATATTTAGGTTAGTTCAACTTTTGGCTATTATGAATAATGCTGTTATGAACATTCATGCACGAGTTTTGTATGGACATGTGTTCATTTCTCTTGGGCATATACCTATAAGTGGAATTGCTGGGGCATAGAGTAATTCTAGGTTTAACACTTGAGGAACTGAGAAACTGTTTTCTAAAGTGGGTGCACCATTTTACATTACTACCAGCGGTGTATGAGAATTCCAATTTCTCTACATCCTCACCAATACTTATTATCTGTCTTTTTATCTATCTAGCCATCCTAGTGTACATGACATGGTATATCATTGTGGTTTGATTTGCATTTGCCTGATGGCTAATGATGTTGAATATATTTTTCATGTGCTTGTTAGCCATTAGTATATCTTTTTTGGAGAAAGTTTACTCAGCTCCTTTGGCCATTTTTTAATTGCTTTATTTTCTTTTTATTATTGAGTTGTAAGCTCCTTCCTTCCTTACCTTCCTTCCTTCCTTCTTTCTTTTTTTAAAAATTATTGTTATTTCTTTAAAGACAGGGTCTCACTCAGTCACCCAGCCTTCAGCACAGTGGCATGGTCATGGTTCACTGTATCCTCTAACTCCAGGGCTCAGGCAATTCTCCTGCCTCAGCCTCCCAAGTAGCTAGCACTACAGGCACATACCACCACACCTGGGTAATTTTTTTAAAAAGGTGTTTTTTTTGTAGAAACAGGAGATTGCCATGTTGCCCAGGCTGGTCTCAAGCTCCTGGCCTCAAGTGATCTTCGATTTCTGTCTCCCAAAATGCTGAGTCTACAGGCATGAGCCACTGTGACAGGCCTGTAAGAACTCTTTAAATAATCTGGGTACAAGTTACTTAATCAGATATATATTTTCACATGTTTTTCCTCTATGCTATGGTTTGTCTTTCCATTTTCTTGAAAGCATCTTTTGAAGCACAAATGTTTTTAATTTTTATGAAATTGGATTTATCTATCTTTTCTTTTATCACTTGTGTTTTCGTGTCATATCTAGAAAACCATTTTCTAACCCAAGATTATAAAAATTTACTCCTGTGTTTTTGCCTAAGAGTTTTATAATTTTAGACCTTATACTTAAGCCTATGATTCATTTTTAGCTAATTTTTGTATATGATATGAGGCAGGGGTCCACCTTCATTCTTTTGCATGAATCATTCTTATCCAATCATCCCAGCACCATTTATTGAAAAGGCTCGTCTCTGTCGACGTCTTGCCATCCTTTTCAAAAATCAATTGGTCATAAATGTAGGTATTTATTCCTGGACTCTCAATTTGATTCCCTTGATCTATTTGTGTATCTTCATGCAAGTAGCACTCTGTCTTGGATATTGTAGCTTTGTAGTAAATTTTGAAACCAGAACATGTAAATCTCCCAGCTGTGTTGTTTTTCAAGGTTATTTTGGATATTCTGCATCCTTTGCATTTCCACATAAATTTTAAGACGGGCTTGTCAATTTCTGCAAAAAAGACAGCTATGATTTTGATAGGTATTGGCTTAATCTGTACATCAATATGGGGAGCATCTGTCATCACCTTGACAATATTAAATCTTCTAATCCATGAACAATGAAATGTCTTTCCAGTTATTAGGTCTCTTTAATTTCTTTCAACAATGTTTTGTAGTTTTCAGAGTACAAAGCTTGCACTTCTTTTGCTAAATTTATTCCTAAATATATATATCTTGATGCTATTCTAAATGGAAATGTTTTATGTTCATTGCTAATGTGTAGAAATACAATTATACTTAGGACTTATTTGAATAAGAAGTTTCAGTGTCAGGGGATTGGATATTAAAAACAGATCAAATGAATATATATAAAATGAATGTTGTAATTAACCAGAATGCCAGTAGAACCAGGAGGATTTTTGATGGCATGCTTTATTTATGAGAAAATAACCAGCTTGAAAGTTTTAAAATAAAATTGTGGCATCATACAAACCGAAAAGTATTTTTAAATATAT